GGTTGCGGCTTTCTTCTCTCGGGGGGCGGCGGGGAGCGTCGACCCCGCCGGCTCCCCAGACGGCTCCCCCGCTACCGGGGCAAGCACCGGGGAGGGCGTTGACAGAGCAGGGAGTCCACCTGCAGGTCAGTGACCGGCGGCGCANCTGAGGTTGCGGCTTTCTTCTCTCGGGGGGCGGCGGGGAGCGTCGACCCCGCCGGCTCCCCAGCCGGCTCCCCCGCTACCGGGGCAGGCACCGGGGAGAGCGTTGACAGAGCAGGGAGTCCACCTGCAGGTCAGTGACCGGCGGCGCAAGCGGCGTTGGCTGAGACGGAGGTCCGCCAGGAACCGGGAAGTACCCCGATGTCGTTGGCCGCCGCCGCCGCCAACATCGGCCGGGAACAGGAGCGGGAGCAGGATAAGGGCGGGGACGAGGGCAAGCACGAGGGCGAGGAGGTGTCTGAGTGGTGGGTCTTCCCCTTCCTGCTTCACACAGCGGCGTACAGCCCGTGGAGCGGTCAGGCCCCGTCGGAGTGGAAGCACCTCGACTCTTCGGACGGGCCGTCTATAAAGCGGAAGGGCGGGGACGTCACCGTGGACTCTGAAAACCCCGTGTGCAGCCCCGCGGTGATGTCGCGCCTTAACCCCAACGGCGACGCTTTGAGCCGAAGCAGCAGGAGAGGAAAGCAGCGGCCGACAAGGAACTACAAGAAGCCCGGAAGGAAGCCCTTGAGACGAAGAAGGGCCTGGCCGCCTTGGAGGCTGCGAACACACACATCGAGACCATAGGCGCGAACATGAAGAGGATGGTCGAGCTCAAGCAGGCGGAGGCTGTGGGCATCAAGCGTGAGAACAAGATCAAGGCTCTCGAGAAAAGAATTATGCTGCGTCTGGGGGATGAGACAGAGAACTGAGCGGAGCTCGAGTTCTTGCTAAACGAGTTTTTGTCATCCCATTACAGTTGTCTTGCGTGTTGGCATGTGATCGTTGTTCAAAGAAAGGCGGTTGTGTGTTCATATCTCGGTGTTGTTTTGAAACAAAAGGCGCAAT